CTTCCCTTGCCTAGGCCCAGGGAACAGGAGACTGGGGAGAAGAGGAGCCTTGCAAGGCTGAGGTGTTTGTCTGCACCCTCTGGTTGACCATCCTTCTCCAAAGGCACCTCTGTGGCTTTTTTTCTCGGGAATAATGTGATCATGCATCGCGGCAACCCGCCTGCTTGTCTCCATTTTCTCCTTCAGACGCCTGCCCTCAACTCCTCCTCTCAATCCTTAGGTCTCTTTCACCCTCTCACCATGGGGGCTTCTGGAGGTCTCCTGGAGGTCTTTTTCTTCCCACAGCCACAGATTCATGTACCTGCAAGCAGGAGCCTTGACCCTTCTGTGAATGTGAGCCTTTCTCTTTCTGTCCAGGAGCTGAAGCCCAGGACAGCCTGTTGCTGCTGAACTCTCAGGTGAGCATCAGACCTTCTTACCCTGACCTTCTTACTCTGGAGTGCACGTGCCCACTTTCCATGTAACACCCTTGAGATCCTGCTCACATGGCGGAAGGGGACAGAATGGGAATGGGCATCCTCATCTTGCCCACTGTCCGGTGGGGAGTGGAGAGCAGGAAATGCATGGGACAGTGACACACAAAGTTTCTTCAGAGAAATCCCACCTCCCATCCTTGGGCAGCCTCAACTTCTCTGGACAGGAGCTGAGTGATAAGGAAAATCAGAAACACTGATGTGGGCTCCCCGCCGAAAGTCCTGCAAGTCCAGGCACTCTAGCACTTCCCCCAGGCATGGTGGTGGGCCTCTCATGGACAGTTCTATTGCTAGACTATGAAGACTCTGCTGAGATGAGAGAGGAGTTGTAGTTAAGATGCTGTCCCAGTGTCTGTGGAACTGAATTCTAAAAGTGGAAAATGAGAGGATGGCCCCAGAGGAGATCTACTACTGATGTTCTGTCCAAAAAGCCAGTGCTGCTGAGAATGGAGCATCTGAGGAGGTCTTAAGGCTCCCTGCAGAGAAAGTCTTCACCCAGAAGGCTAGGTGAGCAGGGTATTAATTATCTGGAAGCACAGATGGTGAGAGGGGTAGATGTGGCGTGACACATGGAGAAGATGACCATGCCACCCTGGCACTGGTAATCAGGAAAGTAACAGTGCAAACAGTCAACCTGATCATTCAACCCAGAACTCATTCTGTTCAGGACCTTAGGGTCCTTTGATGAGACGAGACTGTCACTCCTGCAGGGAGCTGCATGTTACCATCCTGAGCTTCCTTATTTAAACACCAGCACTTCAACGTACCATTTTCCTTCTTTGCTCCAAAACTATATTCCAGTAGAATTCATCAGGTTAGAGAATGAAATACAGAGGAAAATCAAAAACAAGTGTAGGAGATATTATCTTTATTTAAGCACATGCAGTGGTCTTTACACCCTCCTGATTACAATTTGAGTCACTTGATTTCTACTACTTAGCGCTAGCTGCATTTTACCTGTGAAGAAATGGAATCTCAAATTGACTGAGAGATTTGAGTTATAAAAACACAGAACAACAAGGTGGCCTAACTTGCTGTTCCCAGAGCTCTGGGCTTTTCTGCTGGTGCTCATCCTGTGTGCTTCACCTGAACGCCTCTACATGCCTGCTTGGATTCCACCATCGTCAAAAGGTGGCTTCCACCTAACTTCTTGCGTACACCTGTACCCCTTCCCTCCAAGGCAGGAGCAGTCGTGTCTTCCTCAGCCAACAGAACTTCAGTCTTTTTCAGACTCCGTCATAGCCTCCTTCTTAATACTGCTATTTGTTTTCTCCCTGACCACATTAATTCTTAAAGACAGAGACAGTGTCTCATGGGCAAGATATCTCCCAAAGCTTTTTACACGAGCATTAGAGTAAGTGTGTCAGTCCCAGCAGGTGCTCAGCATATGGTTTTTGAACCAGGCACACAGCGGCATTGCAAAAGATGGAATCTCAGGTATCCCGGTACTACAGCCCCTTGTTTGCAGCTCTCACGAACAAGATCTGAGGGTTCGCTGCCATCAAAAGTAAACGCTGGCTGACTGCCAGAGGGCATCTACCCCATCCTGGCCTCTGCTTCAAAGTTCCCCCAAGTCCCAGCCGGCAGTTCTTTTGATCTTTCCATGTTTGCTCATTAAAGTTAATTTGGGACATGAAAAGATCCAGGACTAAATATTTCATTAAGGCCAGGACATCCTAACGCAGCAACTACAGATAAAACAGGTAAAACAGAGCAAAGGTTCCAAGCACGAGGCCAGCGACTGCAGCACCTTAGGCTCAGGGCTGGCGTCTTCAGGCAGCTCCCAGATGCCGAGGGTGTAAAGGCGGTGGGTGTGTGCTCGGTGTCTGCAAGCACCTCCACAGCTTACTCACTGGAGAGTGAGGAAGCGTGGTTCGTTTGGAAACAGTCGTGTCTACAGTCTTGTCTGATATTCTCAACATCAGCTACCATCTTCACTATGTGCCAAGGGTGTGCCAGTTGTTTTATGTGGATTGTCCTTTCTGTCCCGCACGGTAACTCTCTGAAGTGTTCTACTGCTGACTCTATATTACACAGGGGGAAACGGAGCTTACACATGTTACTGATTGGGCTAAGCTCTTACAACGGTGATGAGGTTGAGGGTCCAACAGCATCAGGGTCTCCCTAGAATCCATACTTCTAAGCACCTCACCCTATTGCTTCTTGGAATATCTAAAACTTCATATTCTTTCTTATTGATAGAAAGGATACTAAAGCAGTAACACTGCGTAGCTTATGTAGCGGTTCAATGAGGGGAGGCCTTAGTTTTTTAAATCTCATGCCTAAAAGTTTGTTTATTTGTGGGACAAAAGACTAATGACACCAATTGTTGGTGTTCTGAGAAGCCAAGGACAACTTTGCCTGTGTGATATGTCATATAATCTTAAGACACAGTGGAGTTTTTTGTTGTAAGGTTCTACACAGCTGGAGCTGAAATGGTGGGGAAAGCTGGAGGACAGAAGAATGCAGTGATCCGGTATTAATCTCAAGTGCCTCTAAGCTTCTGTTCTAATGGAACTGTCTTTCCTTGGGAGAAAAATTCTATTTTAGTAAATACAAGTTATTAATTACTATAGAGCTTTTCATTAAAGGAAGAAGTAAGTACAATAAATAAATACAATAGTAAATTCAATAGTAAGTACAATAAGTAAATACAATAGTAAATTCAACTATAAAAATGGACATAATAAATCTAAGCATGTTAAATTTCCCTGTTAAAGTAACACAGATTTCCAGAATAGTTTAAAATACAAAGTCAAACTTTATGCTATTTCCAAGACATACGCTTAAAATAATGGATCACAAAAAGGTTGAAACATAGGTATTTGTGCCAGAAAAAAATAATAAAAAGATGTAAATGCTAAGATGATAACATCAGACAAAGGAAAATAAAAGCAAGAAGCATTAATGATTAAGAGAAAGACATTATATTTGCTATATTACATTCAGTTCATCAAAAAGATACCAGCTATGGCCCTTAATGCATTGAAAATATGGCATTATATCTTTTTGTTTTCAAATATGTAAATGAAATAAAAACTGGTAGAAATATAAAAGAAGTTAAGAATCCAGAACCATTGTCAAGAGTGGGAGGGTGTGATGCATGCCTGTAATTCCAGCACTCCGGAGGCTGAGGCAGGCGTATTGTTGTGAGTTTGAGACCAGCCTGTGATACAAAGTGAGTTCAAGACCAGTCCAAACTGCACAGCAAGACTCTGTCTCAAAAAGACTCCTCCCCCAAAGAAAAGTGTGGGAGGGAGCAGAAGGAAGTGGGGTGTATCAACTCCCTGGGATTAATGTAATCATGTGTACCGCAAACATGTAATAATAAAAATAAATTTAAAAAGTCATAACCCATTGTCAAATAACACAACGCATTCATCTTAGACATAACGATGGCCTGTGAAAAAATAACAGGGAGATACTGCTCAAGGGGCCCTTATGAAGAAAAACAATACGGACATTTTCCAAAAACAGAAACCGTATCAACATAAAAAGACAAGAACAGACACTATTTGGAAATTAAAAGACATTCTTCTAGTTGACTTTTGGCTTGAAGAGATAATAAAAACAGAATGGAAAAACTATTCAAAAAAGAAAGAAAATAACTCCACATATCCAAACCTGAGACGCAGTCAGCAGAAGGTCAGAAGGAAAAGGGAATTCTCTTTCCTCAGTGTACTGAGTTAGGGGACAAGCACCTCACTTACCTGCCTCTGCCCCTCCACAACCCACACAGCACAGCATGTGACGGGACTCTTTACCACTGACCGCCCTGCCGGGTGGCCTTAAGGTTGGCATCAATGATTTCCCTTCTTTTGAATTGAACATTTAAAGGCCTTTGTTGCTTTCCTTTCCACACAGCACATTTTCTTGAACAGTATTCTTCAATACAACTTCCTTCAACAATGAAAATGTTCTACACGTGTATTGTACTAAAATATAGTAACCACACGTGGCTCCTGAGCTTTGAATATGATTAAAGAATCAAAGTGTTACTGTTACTTACAGTAGTGGAGATGGAATCCAGGGCCTTCACACTGAGCATACTCCCCAGTCCTTTTTCATTTTTTAAAAATTTTGACAGTCTTTATAAGTTATTACATTGCCTAAGCTGGGCTCAAACACATGCTTTTCCTGCATCAGCCTCCCAAAATGCTGGGATTGCAAGTGTGTGTCATCATATCTGGCTTGAATTTATTTTTAAAAAATTTCATTTTAATGTAAATAGCCTTACATGGTTAGTGACAACCATACTGGGCAGTGTTGTTCTGGACAAAAAAAAAAAGTCAGCTGGCCCCCTAATATTTTTTGTTTCCTTTTTTTTTTTTTTTTTTTAAAGACAAGTCTCAAATCAGACTGTGGTGGTACACACCTGTAATCCCAGTACTTGGGAAGCTGAGGCAGTAGGATCATCCCAAATTTGAGATCAGCCTGGGCTACAAAGTGAGCTCAAGACCAGCCTGAACCACACAGTGAGACCCTGTCTTAAAGAAAAAAAAAGGTCTCCCTGTGTAATTCAGGCTGACTTTAAACTCACCATGTAGCCCAGGCTAGGCAATCCTCCTGCCTCAGTCTCCCAAGTGCTGGGATTATAGGCATAAGCTACTATGCCCAGAACACCCAAAATTTTTTATAATCACTATTGCCACCATATCATCAATTCCTCAAAGTCACTTCTCCCAACTCTGACTTTCACATGTACTTCAATCAAGGGAGGTGATGTGATGATTTCAAGGGAGGTAACTGTGATGACAATGTATGCTAAAAAATAAAGGCCCTGTTTCCTCTGGCAAGGAGGCTATCTGTGCATTTCTCACATGAATGAACCATCTAGTCCCAGGATTTCATCCTGAGGCCACTTCTGAGACCATTCTTGATATGCTATGCATCATCGATTGATCCAGAGTTATACAATCAAATGTGATAGAATTAAGTGTGCTAACTAAAGAAACCATTTAAAGCAATGCTAGTAAGAGTGCCAAAGCACTAGAGATTTAGTAACTGTGAAGAACTACCGACTACACCCAGGTCTGAAGGCCAAGGGTGATGTATTTACCAGACCTAGAGAGGTAGCTTTACCTTAGAGCTATGGCCTTCTGTAGGTGCTGGAACCAACCTACCGTGACCCAGTAGGCGGGGAACACAAGTACATCAGATCCACTCTCTTCCTGATCACCAGCCTTTATTAGTAATCCAATCATGAACCACAGAGTGAAGAAGGCCACTATCGTCATCCGTACAGCACAGCTTCCTGAGGTGTGAGGGAGGATGAATAAAGGTGGAGAGGGTTCTAGAGTAGCAACTAAAATGTTTCTTATATCCTTATTTGAACTACTAAGAAAAGTCTGTCCAGTTAAGGCTTAGATCCTGATCTTGTACTGATTCCCCATATAAACAACACCCAGGCTCTGTCAGTACCTGGCCAAGCAGTGTCTTCCTCTCCTGGAGCTATTTCCCAACAAAACAAGATGAGTTCTAAACATGACAGCGATGATGACGATGGTGACAGCAATGATGACAACCTAAGAAACCAAACAAAAACAGATAAAAATGTGCTTTTAAAAGAAGCGTACGCTAAAACCTCCTCCTCGAAGCTTTGCATGACATATGGGGATGATTTTGACTTGATTTGTTTTCTTCCCATGAAAAACTATTGCTGTTGAAATCCTCTAAAATGCATTTAATGTATAAATCATCATACCCTCAAATTCCAAAGCATTCTTTGATTGTTAAGGCATATTTTTATATATTGTGTATATACTTTTAGCAACATTGTAGGCTCTATGAGGACAAGAGCATCCCATCATAAAATTATTCTGAGTGAATTTTGGAGAACTGTCTTGCTTACTGTAGCATTTGCTGATGCAGGACCAACGATATTGACTGTGGCTGGGGACCACAGGAACAAGGAAGCTCTTGGATGTGGCAAGCAGTTCAGAGGAGTGTGAAGGACCTCCTCAGGCTTCCATGGTCAAGCTGAATTTCCCCCACAAAACAGCTTTCCGGGGCCTCATGTCCACAGACTAGGAAGCTGTCTGACCATCCTGCTAATCATTCACCACACTTGGCTTCCTTCTCAGCTACTGTGGGCAGAGCCTAGTTTATAATGGGTGATTCTTATCTTCAGATTATCTTTGATTCTTATCAGAGTCTTGAGTTCTGCATGCACATATTTTAATGAATACACAGGGGCCAAATCAAGGCAGGGGCCTGAGCATCCCAGATGGGATGTTTTGTGGGGCACAACTGTCACTTTCAACATTGAAAGAATATTCTAGAATATTAAGGAGGACTACTGTGGGAAAGACTTGGATGATCTGGGTAGATACTTGGGGGAAGGAAGACTCAGAGGTGGTGCTGTGGTGGCTCTCCAACATCGCCTCTCGCACACTGAATGCTACCATGTAGATACACTGGCTCCTGGCCTCACATCATTTCCTATATGGAGCAGATAGATGATTATGACGAACCAAGAAAAACAAAAAGGGAAGACCCAAATAAGTAAAATCAAATCTGAAAACAGACATTTACAATTGATGCCACAGAAATGCAAAACACTATTAGGGACTATCACGAATTGGGAAGTCCAGAAGAAGATGATAAACTTCTGGAAACAGATTTACCAAAATTGAACCATGAAGATATAGAAAATGAGCAGACAATATAACATGGAATGAAATTAAATCAGTGATGAAAAGTTTCCCACAAAAAGAAGCTCAGGACTGGGGGGCTTCATGGCTGAGATTTACAGAAGTTTTAAAGAACTAGTGCTTATTGTTCTGAAACCATTCCAAAGTATTGAAAAGGAGGGGACATTTCTGAATTCATTCTTTGAGGTTGGCAGTACTCTGATAAACACAGATAAAAAACATTCTCAACAAAACCTAGAAAAGTGAATCCAACAGCATTTTAAAACGATTATACACCATAATCAAGTGTGATTTGTGGGTAGGCATGGTGGGGCATGTCTATAACCTCAGCTCTTGGGAGGCTAAGCCAGGAGGATCACAAGCTCAAACCCAACCTGGGCAATTTCATGACTTAGTGGAAATTTGTCTTAGAATTTTAAAAGACAAACAAAAAGTCCTGGTGATAAAAACAGCTCTATTTTTATTTTAAAGTGGGATTTATGCCAGGGATACAAGAATGTTTCAATATATATAAACTGATAAAATATATCACATCAATGAAATGAAAGATAAAACTGCCTGGTCATCTCAATAGATGCTGAAAAAGCATTCAGCAAAATTCCACATCCCTTCATAATAATAATAAAAAAAATAGGTTTAGATAGCATGGACCACAACACAATATGGTACGTATATGACAAAGCCATAACTTGTATTCTTCTGAATGGGAAAGGCTGAAACTTTCCTTTAAGGTCAGGAACAAGGCCAGCTCACTGTCACCATTCTTATTCAATATAATATTGAAAATCTTAGTCTGCACAGTAAGACAAGATAAATAAATAAATGGCATCCAAACAGGAAAGAAAAAGGCCAAATTATCATTGTGGTCAGGTAACACAATTTTATACGTTGAAAAACCTGGAGACTTCATCAAAATAAAAGAACTGACAAATAAATTCAGTAAGGTGTCAGGATATAAAATTCAGCATATAAAATCACTACTTTTCTTACACAGCAGTAATGAAACTGCTGAGAAGAAAATAAAAAAAGTGATCACATTTACAAAGATTGCAAAAAATGAGTAAAATACTTTGGGGTAAATTTAACCAAGAAAATAAATGAATTCTACAATGAAAACTACAAAACAATGATTAAAGAAATTAAAGAAGACACACATGCACACCCACAAAATGGAAAGACATCCCACTTTCACGGATTTGAAGAATTGATGATTAACATTATCATACTATCCAAAGCAAACTACAGATTCAATTAAATAGCTACCAAAATATCAATGACATTCTTCATGGAAATAGAAAAAAAATCCTAAAATTGGCATGGAATCACAAAAGACCCTGAATAGCCAAGGAAATCCTGAGCAAAAGGAAAAGGCTAGAAGCATTGTAATATTTGAATTTAAAATATAGTAACCAAAATAGCATGATGGTGGCATAAAGATAGACACATACACCAATGGAAATAGAGAATCCTTAATACATCCATATATTTATAGCTAATTGATTTTTGACAAAGCAACAAGAATACACAGTGGAAAAAGTAAATTCTTTAAGAAATGGTGCAAGAATTAGATCTCTATATATAAGAGAAAAAAATTAAAATATGGGAAATGATGACTGATGGGCACAGTGATGCAGTTAGATTGTAGGAGTAACTTCTAATGTTTTATAACACAGAAGAATAACTATGATTTACAGCTGTTGGGGACCACTGAATCACAGCTGTTGGGGATCACTAATTTACAATGGCTAATTTTGCATACTTCCCTACAAAATGATAAAATGAAGGCTTGGGATTATCAGCACCTCCTATTTGGTATTTCCCATTGACGCTTCTTACCATATGATCATCTACACCCTCTTGAGTCATCCCAGGATTATACTCCAGGACAAGATCCTTCCTAGTGTGTGATGATCTATGCTCTCTTGAGTCTGAGTCTTCTGATGAATTGTAATCCTTTACTAGCCCCACCTATCACTGAATACACCTAATAAAGAGTGGCTGCTTTGGGAGTGGTGGAGGACCCATCTGGAGACATTGACTTCCTAGCCACTGATGCAATACTATACTTGTCTCTGTTTTTTATTTTTCTAGCTGTTCTCTTAAGACAGACAATCAGGATCCCTGATTGGGCTCCCAATAGACAGCAATTGAATATTTAAAAGCATCTAGTAGAGAAGAGTTTGATTGTTCCCAACATGAAGAAATGATAAATATCTGAGAAACAGATGTACCAATTACCCTGATCTGATAATTACACATTGAATACATCTGCTGAAACATCATACTGTATCAAGTATGTGCAGTTACTATGTGTCGGTTAAAAAATTTTAAAACATATTTTAAAAAATGAAGTGGCATATTTAAGAGGGTAATTAAGTCATGAAGTGGAATTAGCAACATTAGAAAGGGGACTGAGGGGACTAAGGTCCTCCCGCATTGTGCTTCCGCCTTTCACCATGTGAGGACATGGAAACAAGGTACCATCTTGGAACTAGACTAAGCAGTCCTCACCAGGAACTTTATCTTTGACCCCTGGCCTGCATTTATGTGAGAAATAAATTTATATTACTTATGTTTTTTTTTAAAGATAGACAAAGGACTTGTGTACATATTTAGCCAAAGAAAATATACAAATAACCAAAAAGCATATGAAAGGTTTCTCAACAGAGAAATGTAAATCAAACTGAATAAAATATCACCTACAGCTGATAAGAATAGCAAGTATTTCTTTTAAAAAAGATACTCGACTTCCGGGAAAACATGGCGGACAGATAACAGCAACTACCGGAGGCTCTCTGAAAGACTCGGCTCAGAAGCCAGGAATGGTGCGGACTAAGGAGACATAAGCAGGTGGAGATATGCTCCGCTGACTCAGGAACGAACTGGGCTGAGAGAAACCAACTTGGAATGCATTCCTGGTGCTAAAACAGGAACAGAAAAGCCTCGGTGTGGAGGCTGGACCCCGCGCCATTGTAAGCCGCGATTTGGGTTTCCAGCCGCACAGCGGCTGGCTGCCTCTACAGCGGCTCGGCAAGGAGAGAGACACGCAGAAGCTCTGAGAACGGCAATCTGCGAACGGCAGGGAGGCGTGCACTGACTTGCGGTGAGGTGAGTGAGAGAAGCTGACACTCTACCACAGTTTGACTCCAGCGGAGGACTTTCTGGGTCCGAGCAGTCCTGCGGGAGCGGGGCGCGGTGGCGACTCCAGCCACACATCCCCCTCTCGGACGGGATTGGTGAAAAGTGCCTGGCCTGCTTGACGCTGCCGGCGGACCTGGTAGGCTGTCCCAACCCAGATCCCAGAGCCTGACGGTGGCCGGGAGGGGAGACGCGTAGGCTGCCTGGTCCGTAACTCCCTGGTGCACAGCGGTGAGCGGGAACACCTAACTGGCGCAATTCGATCAGGCTGTGGCTGACTGGGAGAGAAGCTGGGCCTCTTATATAAGCTTGTATATATAAGGAACAGAGAAGAAGAGGCAGCATGGGAAGAGGCAGCAACAAGAAAGGCTCCTCAGCCCCCAATTCTGAGAAACAGGCAATAGCAGACACCGCACCAATATACATAAGGCACCATATAGAGAGCCTCATTGACCAATTCAGGAATGAAGTTATCAATGACCTGAAGCTAGAAGTATGCAGAACAGTTAGAGAAATGCTAAGTACCACCCAAGAAAAAACAGGCGGTGGAATGGAAGAACAGAAAAAAAGGGGAGAATTGTTTGATGGAGAAAACAGAGAAAGCATAGAATACGTGAAGCAGGTTCAAAGGGACTACCAAGATACTAAGAAGTCTATAGAAGACTGGCATAACAGCTTGAAAGAAACTAAGGACAGACTATCTGAACTGGAGGGCAGACTTGTAATATGGGAGA